CCACATATGGCAATGCTGGCTTACACCTACAGATCTGCCCTGAGGCAGTGATCACCATGACCAAAGCACACAGCACTGCATGTCAGCACACTTCTTGCTCTGTGCTCTCAGCCTGGGGTTCTGCTGTCATGCTGGTTCTGCTGGGTGCTGCCCCACATGCTGCCCTTGACTCTAAAGCTCAGTTCCTATCTGGATATGCTGTTTTTACTCTCCCTCCAAGTTTTCTTTTCAGCAGAGGCAATAGCTCCAGTTTGCATACTGAGTTTGTAATGCACAGAAGACAAACATCAGTTAAATTCATTTTTACCTATGACTTCAGCAGAGATCTGTGCCTGTCTGCCTTCAGTTGAGAGCAAGCCTTTTAACACAGTGCATGGCTAAACCTCCTTTCCATCAGCTCTCCACTTCCCAGACATTTAGCATCAGTTTCAAGACTAACGAATAAAATGCAGTAGTACAGCACTTCCAAGAAGGAAAAGTTGAATGAGTAACTACTGCAGGGACAGTCTAAGCTTTCTGATGTGGACCCCACACTGAAGTAAGCTTTATTCAGAGAAAGCCATTGAAAAAAAATAATTCCCAAAGGTAATGCTTCAAAGAAGCAAAATCAACATCACCAGTGTGCCTAGAGAAATGGAGATCTCTCTCAGGGGTGAATGCAGCTACAGCACCTGAGATATAACCCACGTGTTCACAGACTATTGGCACTCCACCTAGCTCCTCTTTCTGAAGTCCTCTTCATCTCTGGTCTCTACAGCTGACAGTGCAATAAGCATTTGGGCTGCATAGTAAGTAGCCATGATGATGAAGCGCGAGTAGGGCACGGGGAAGCAGAACTTGTTAAGTGCAATGGTTAGATCGGACACCATGAACAGCATCGCGCCGATGCAGGCAGAGAGCTTGGTCCATGTCCAGAGGTCGTTGCACAGCTGCATGCCGGCCACCGCCCGCCAGCCCATGAAGGCAATCAAGGCGATGTAGACAGCGACCAGGTAGGTGAACGGGCCTGAGAGGTAGGAGTACAGGAAGGCATAACAGGAACCGGAAACCAGGCCCATCAACAAGCCGGCTTTGAGGTCCAAAGGCTTCATGCCAAAGGCTGAAGAGTACAGGATGTGTGTGATGGCAAACATCAGCAGACCTAGAAAGAGGCATTGACACAGATCATCAGTGACTGGCGGTCAAGAGCTGAAGGAAACGTGGTTATATTGGATTTTAAATATACCACAACAAGCACAGGCTTAGAGTTTCTTGCAATGTTATAACCCTTAACACTATCAGTGAAAACCATACTGACCACTTAAGCTATTTAAATAAAAAAATAGGTGCATGGGAGATCAGCCTTAACACCAAGCCTCTGGCCTAAGAAAAAGCCCCAGCACATCTACGGCTGCAGCCAAGTACAGCTCTGCTGTGACAAAAGCCTTTCTGCTGGGAGGCCAGGTGAACTAAGCTTCAGCAGAAGGAACTGAGCTTGTTTTTCAGGTGTTCCTCTTCCCCTGCTTTGGGTAGAAGGGTGGGAGCAAGGCAGACCAAAGATCACCCCCTCCAACTATCCAAAGTGTTTTACTCACAGCTCACATGTGGAACAGGAAGGCTGGAATCAGAGCAGTGTAGGAACAAAACATGACAAAAGTTACCAATCCCTCTGAACCCAGATACAAAGCCTGACCGTATTTAGCCACAAACCCAAAGGCACTCAGGGACTAAATCTGGCTTCTACTCCATCTCTGCCCATAGCTGGGAGAAGCCTAAGCTGGAAAGAAGCAGCTGGCATATTTCAGAGACTGCACTGATGTGATCTGCCAACAATTTTATGGCTATTTTCAAGATTCAGATGAACCTTAGAGGGAATCAATCAGTGAAAATAAAATGCCGGCTTCCCTTTGAAGTGCAACAGTCCTGAGAAACGCCAGATGTGGGTGTTGGAAGGTACTGCCTACATGTTGTTATTCACTTGCCACTAATCCATTTGACAACAATATGTCCCAATGTGTTGGCACAGCTGCTGACTCCTAGCTGTCATGACAATTGTAGATAATGGGCTCCAAACTGAGTCCAGCTCCTTGGATCCTCTGGTTCCCAGGCCCACACATGATGCAGCTGCAGGCTGTCCCACTTTATCCAGACAGGGTTATTAGTGGAGCTGGAAGGTTTTATGCAGCTTTAAAGCATGAAATAGAGAAAAGGATCTGGGAAGCTGAGTCCTCCAGCAGGACATTTGTTCACATTTAATGTGTGATGCCATGGTGTAAAGGGCAGTCACTAAAACCTGCTGCTGGCAGACATTGCTTCATCCTAATACTCTTGTGATGAGGCAGTGCAAAGAAGGGGAAGTGTCTCCTTGCCTTTGGAGAGGACCAGATTGGACATTCACTGAAAGCTCAGCCATGGTGGGATGAGAAGGGAACCCACAGGAGGGAGGGGTTGGTGGGGATCTGATCTGCAGGATGAGGCTAGAGAAAATGGACAGTGTGAAGGGGAAGGAAGAGAAGCATAACCAGAAGCTGATGTTTCACAGAGCTATTGCACATCATGGGCACAGCACTGAGGAAACTGAAAAGGGATTTAGGACATGAGCTGTTTATAGTGTTATAGTGCAGGAAAGGTTAGAGCCCGGGGAGATGGTAAGGAGAAGAAGGATACATCCTCCTAGGAATGATGAGTGTTTTTTCCTTCAGTGGCATTATATGGAGTATTCTGGGACAGGGAACTGAAGAATGTGTTGTCGTTCATGCAGGCATCTGGCAGCAAGGAGGAGAGGACAGGATACAGCAGCAAAACAGAGGCCTGGAAAGGCAGTAGGAGTTTTGTGATATGTGGTGAGGCTGGTCACAAACAAGGCAGTCAGGTCCTGGGTTTACTCATTCAACACCCACAAATCAAGCCAGGAACTGAGGAAACCTGTGACAGCTGCACAGGGAGGGGGTGCATTTCTCTCGTACTTCTCAGCCTTTAGCTTGGTCCTCCCACATCAGGCAGATCAGCCCTTCTCTCTGTCTGCTTCCTTGCCTCAGGTTTCCTCAGGCTGGCAAAAAGGCTTTTTTGCTAGTCCCTGTCTTCTTCACCAAATGCATTAATTGTTTCTAAGAAGGTGTCTAAGGAGGTGTCTATTAACGCTGTAAAGTATCTTCTACATGCACTAAGACACTAGTCAGAAAATAGTGCGTTATTAGTGGACTGAGGCAGCAAAAATGAAAAAAGTCAAGTGTGCCAGGAGTAGGTTCCCAGGCCCTCACTTCCCTATAAAGTAATGAACAAATGTCCTTTTATAAACTCGTTGTCTCAAAAGCTATTCAGATCAGCCCAGTTTCCAACCCTTTTCAGTTCAAAAGCTAGAGAAATTGAACAGAAAGTACATTTTTATCCAGTATTTCCTCTTACTCTCCTTAAACTTCAAATTCCCACAACTGATGATGTCAAAAGGTTAAATATTGTCAGTTGTTGGCAAGAACAACCTGGTGAGTTTCAAGCAGGAGAAAATAAATTTTGCAAGCAAGGTGAAGGATGAAATGGATCAGTGTAAGCTTTATCTGCTTACAGCTGAAATGCAAATATTAACACTTCATTACAGAAGATAGTAGCTCAGTGGGCTGAGATTTTCAAAATGCTCCAGTAGAGCTTTGTCTCCTCCTTAAGAAGAAAAACGTGTCTAAAGCCACAAAGCAAAACTTATCAGTTGTGAGACTAGGGTTGATAATCCAACTTATTTGCAGATTAAAACAATCAACCAGATACTGAATTGCTGTGACTAGTTAACCCTTCCTCTAGCACTGTATTGGAGAGGGAACTTGGAGATATACCGTCTATGCGGAATGGAGAAGCATGGAACAGTCCATATACAAAAATGGTCATGGGGAGAATTGGGCCTCAAATGTTTTCCAAGCCACAGCTCGAGAAGCAACTCCAGGAGGCAAAAGAGACACACAGCCAGTTGGGCTGAGGCAACCTGCTCCTAACTCCTGTTAGGAGGAGGCCCATCAGTGAGAATGTCAACACTCAGCACAGAGGGGATGGCACCCCAAGAGAAAGCTGAAGCTCCTCAGCAATGTGCCCAAGGTTCAGCCAGAGAGATCCAATCCTCAGGGCCTAATCTAAACCCTACGAAAATCAGTAAAAATTTTTACATGAACTTTTAATGAGATTGAGATAAGCCCTTGGGAAGCAGGATTAAAACCAGATTCAGAGCATTTGGCCTTTCAGATCTGGCACTGCACACTCTTTCTTCCCATAAAGAAAGAGCTTCTGGGAATCCCAGAATAAAACTAAATACTAACCTCATGAGAGAGGCAAAAAATAAGCCTTTGACTTTCAGAGCTGACAACAGCAGAAGTCAGAAAAGTTGCCTCATCTCATCCCATTTTCCAGTGGGACAGTCACAGCAGCCAGTTAATGGTGGATGTTATGTGAGATCCCCGTGCTGGTTAAATAAACTTCAGAAAGCCCACCAGTCAGTTTAGCAAAGGACTCAACTGCTGCTTATTTCTTTTGACAGTCCAAGGCCATGGAGAGTGTTGCTGCAGGCAGGTTCAATGTGGCTTTAAATGATTAATCTAAATCATTATGTTCCAGTCTGCGAACTAGCAAAATAAACCAAGCTCATTTTGCTCTGAGAGATGTGGATCTTTCTGTAGAGAAGACAGACCACTGTGGTAAGGTTTGTCCTTGATTGACCATCATTTACATGTCTTGCAAAACAGATATATCTTGTACAACAGGCTGCATGATTCACACTGATGAACCTGCAAGTAGGACAAGATTTCTGATGCTTTCATTTCTAGCATCCACTTAAAAACCTCCCCCAGGCTATGGGCTTGTCTATCAAAACATAAAGCTCCCCTCCACTTGCTCTTCACTGAGGACTTTTGCACAATATGTCCTATCCCTGATCCTTGTAACAAAGGGCTAACAGATCTCCCTGCAGAGAGATAGGAGGTAGATACTTCCCATAGCTTCATGGGAGCTCAGGAGTACCATAAACATTTCTTTTTCTTCCCCAGGGATTCTGGCATGCCACCTTCTCAGCTCCAGCCAGCCGAGATGCTGTGACACATGCCAGGAAACCAAACCTGACCCAGTTACCTCTCTGATCTCAAGAGAAAGACTCATCTGTGGTGTGACTCTTCTAACCATGATGGATTTTAGTCAAGGAATAAGGGCTTCCCAGTGCACGGGGCTTAAGCTGTACGTGAATAAACAAAACATGTGCCCCAGCAACCCATTACTAAATAAAGAGGATAACAGCTGGACTGTGGCATCCCTTTAGGACTGACAACATACTCACCATGAATGAAGTAGCCCTGCTCCTGCCAGATGAGAAAGGCATCTCCCACTGCCGAGAATATGAGTCCCGCTAGGATGCGGCTGGCACTCCGGTGTGACACTAAGAAGTTAATTCCATGGGCCAGAAGGAAAACCCACAGGCAAAAGATGGGCAGACATTTAATGAGAGCACTGAACCAGGAGGGGCTGGAAGTTGGCAGCCAGAGGACAAAATAGACACAAGTGGCTTTAAAGAAGGGCACCAGTTTGGGACCTTCGCTCTTCACCTAAAGAAAACAAACATTAAAAAAGATAAATTAATAGGATCATCAGAAGCATCAACTTCATAACAGAACTGTCTCCTTCCTTTTGAAAGCTAATCTTTCATGTATACTGTCAGCTAGCAGCGTTTCTACCCTGAGAACTGCTGATTGAACTTGACCACAATTCTCAGCCTAGACCTTTGTGATCGTCTCTGCTGAACACTTCTCAGCTGTCAGGATGGGGTTTGGGTGGTGGACTTGGAGGAAGTTTTAAATACCTTTTCTCTTTATTTGGTTCTACTGAAAACATTCAGGCCATCAGTCAAACTCCTCTGGTGCTCCTTGACACCTACCTTGTGTTTAGACTAATCTCTTTATACACCTTTCCGGAGCTGTGAAAATACTCCACCCCCAGATATATCCCAGCAGCAAACAAACCAGAAAAAGTGCAAATCCTCCCTTCCATTTTCACAAATCCTCACGCTTAGCCAGTAGCAGATCACCCTGAGGATACAACCTCTCTTCTAAGGCATTCTTTCTCCTGCCCTGAAGCCTCATGCCTGGAGCTTGCTGTTGGCACCACCACATGACTTCAAAACCCGTCACATCAGCCTCACAGGTGAGGATGTCATTTCCTCAGCTGACTAATACCAACATTAACCACGTGTTGCTTTGTTCTAGCATTACAGTAATAATACAGAACCCATACTGCAGGAAATGTTTTGACTCAGGGCTCTATTGTGTAAATACACAAAAATGTAGCATGAGCACTTAGCTACCCATAACAAAGCCACAGCAGGGGCAGGGCACAGAGCTACAGGCTCCACAAGCTGGGTCTGCTCTTGATATACATTTAGCTGAGAACGCTCTGTACAATGATAACATATGTATTGTGATCACCTGCCCTCCTGTTATAATTCTGCATTTCAGTGCAGGTGGGGAAAACTTCACACGAGAAACAAAGCTATGATTTTATTTTCTCCTGAAGAGCAGCTGAGGGCCAAAATAAGGATCAAAGGGACGGGACTGCCTCCTGTGCCTGACTGAGCTATGTCCTGGGGTCTAACAGGAGGCCTGTTTCCTCCTGCACCTAAGGCAGTGCAACATCCAGAGCTCCTCTGCAAGCAGAGGTTTACTCTCAACCTTCCCATTTCTTTGGTCAAGCAAGACTTAGTTGCTTAGTATCACAACAACTTCCCTCTACTCATGGCCAAAGCACACAGAGGCCTCATGCACTGGAGGAGGACATGGGAAAATTTAGAGGCATCAAAGTTGATTTCACTCTGCAGAGTCCAACTGGTCTTTTTTTTTCCAAATCACTTGGCCCTATTTCTGCTTCCTTGCATCATGGGACATTGCCATGACACAAAAACAGCATCCATCTTCCTTTGATGCAGTGTGCCTTGATGCAGGCACCTAGAACAGATGAAGACTGCACAGGAAATATTCTCTGCTTACAGTGCTCAGGTAATAAAGCCTAATCTCATAAAAATTCTGGAGCTTTTACAGACACAAGCAAATCGAATCAGGTGAAGCTGGAAGACAGAGGCAGAGGCAGTGGAGGGCATCTTCACATGCAGTATCTAAAAAGGGAATGCAATCTCAGAAGCAGTGAGGCTATAAATAAAGGGCATCCCAAGAAGACAGTGCCTTCAAAATTGTTCTCACATCTGATGGAAATTTCCCCAGCATATCAGCAGTTTCTTGGCAGTAAGGTATTTCATTATACATTATTCATAGGCTATTGCCAACACAATTTTTAAACACTCCATTAAACAACCAGGCTACACAATTCACTAACAAAAGGACATCAGCAAGCCGTTAACTTTCTTGTATTACATGAGGAGCTGTTGTGAGTCCTCTACTTAGGTTGTCTAAATTAATCACCATTTACCACTCCTTGTCTGTATTCCTTGGGAAAATTCTGGCAGCAAATAACAAATGAACTTAAAAGTTAGAAAAGCTCATGTAGTCTCATAGTACTGGGGTTGCCTGGGAACTATCAAGTATCATAAAGGAAAGAGTGCAGCCAAGCTTCCCCCTCCTTCAGACCCAGCACCTTGCTTTCCTAAAGTGACACATCAGGCTCTGACTGTCCAAAGCCAGTGCTCAGCTCCAGCTCTGCTTCCTGCCCTTCTGACTCTCTTTTATTAAAATGTAGTTGATCACATTCATCCTCTCACAGTTGGAGGCAGCAGATGACAGTGTTTCTGGCAGGGTTTTCTCCTCTCCCCCGCAAGTCGTGGAGGATCCCCACCACGCCGTAATGAGCCTGAGATCTTCATCGTGGAAAACTAACAACCTCCAGAGCTACGCAGTGCGAAAGAGTTGGCAGCAGCAACAGTGCTCCAGGCTCATGTAACAGTCTCAGCTAGGGTAAGTAGTTTTGTACCTCTGAAGAAAAAAGTTTATGCTGAAAGATTTAGTTGAAGTTCAGGCTGTTTGCAACACATCACAGTGGCACTGTTAGAAGCATACAGGAGAGTATTTGGGTTAATAAACATGGGAAGTTTTATTTAATACCTCATATTAACAGAAAAACACCTGCTAGGAGCAGTTACCATTACAATCACAGCTTGCCCTCCCCTGTGTGCATGCATGATGAGACAGGTTTTAATTACACTTGTAATTTCCCCAGGAACCCTGCCTTACTGAATGTAAGATATGCCCTTGTGCGGAATGATTATGTTTGATTAACTTAAAATTACCATTTCTTACTATCTGAATGTGAATTTTGCAAGCTCAGCCAGCATTATTTTAAAATAATGATTTGTATTATTTCCATGCTAATAGTAATTAAGGAATTTTTCATATATAAGGGGTCAGATTCCAGTCTCAGTTAAGCACCAGTTAAACGATTTACAGTGTTACAGAGTCCCCAAGTAAGAATGATCTCATATATCTAAAAGGGCTACAGGCTTCTCATCACTGAATTGACACTATTTCTTTACATCTTTTCTACAAGTATACTTCAGATGAGTTATTTCCAACCCTACTCTTGCCCATCACTGAATGCTGCAGCTCAGTGGAGCCCCTGTTACAGCTCTGACCAAAATGAGGGACAGCACTTGCTGAGACAGAGGTACCTGTGCAGCTGAGGGGTGGGCAGCACATCCCGCTGGGATATACTTGGGAGAAGTCCTTCAAGAATAACTGAGGCAGCCAGAGGGTGAGGCTGGGGATTACCCTCCATTTGGACATGTGGCTGAGCCTTGGAAAGGACAAGTCAAGGCTGGTATTGGGAAACCATGTACCAACATGACTGGAGGCTGTGGCTTGAGGAAAGCAGGGCATATAATCCATGACTGGACTTGCCTGTACCTCAGGGAAGGGAACATTATTTCTTGGTTGCATGGATAAATTGCATCAGAGATGGAATGTGAGATGGGGACATGCTGTGGTATTGGAAAAGAAAGCACATGACAGAGGTGACAAAATCCTTTATGGTAATGCATGTGATTGTCATGGCTTTCAGCTGGGTTTTGCCATTTTGTTATAAATTTATTGCATTTTCCCCCAATTCTTTTCTCCTTCCACCGCTTATTTACTCCATACAGAAATGCAGTACAGAAAACATTTTGAATACAATAACAAGGCAGTATTTCCAAGTTTTGAATTTCTAAACTGACCATAATTTAGGGAATTTTCTCAACTGCTACGACAATTAAGTTACCTAGAGTCTTGAGAAATTAGTTTAAACTACTGTAAAGCCAAAAAATTTACAGCTGGCTCCTTTACTCCAGAATAAGTCCCATCCACAGAGGAACAGCTACATTCATAAGACAGTGCCCTGATTTTCTTTAACATTTTGGAGCCAATTGTCTGTATCTGTATCACGAGTGGAATGAAGAAAATCCAGCTGCCACAGGGAGGGAGATATCTTCTTCCTGAGGTACAGAAGAACATCAGAAGTTTGTTGCATTGAAATGCTAAAGTCGGACGAAAAGTCCTTGCTAAAGTCCTAAGCCATGCATTGGTCCCAGGAAACAACATGGAGTATCAATGCTCTTCTCTCCACAAAGTCTCCTAAATCAGCCTGCACAGAAAATATGTATACAGACACCTGCTGTGCACCAACCTGCTGTGGGGATATGGCTCATACCCACTGGGCTGTAAAATGCTGCTTCCCAGGAAAAGTACTTTAAAAATAAGACACCAGCTATTCTACAGAGCAACACTTAAGTACAACTGTGTGCACTGGCCAAAAAAAAGCTGAGTCGTTGTCCTTCACCCATCCATCCCAGCAGCCTTGGCTGGCCAAGTACCATTTTGTGTATCGACATCTGAGCTGCTTCTCCTGGCTTTTGGCATGGATCCTGTCTTGGTTCTGCCCTAATGTGACAATAGCTCTCACCCCCAGTCATGTGCTAATAAATATTTATTTGGCTTTGTTGCCATGTTTGCTGCCACTTCAAGCCCGGGGCTCATGCTTCTCATTCCCCAGAATATGTGGCACTCTGCAAAGCACTGACCATCCTCTGTGCAGTCTGAGTCACAGAGGGGGAGAGTTGCTTCAACCTGGGGATGGACCACAATTAGGATAAAGTACATGTATGTGCTACAGGTTCTCATCTACAGAGCAATGGGGAACCAACACAATTCACCATCGGACTGAGCCTACAGAAAACCCACCTTCGTGCACAGATCCTAGCCAGGGGCAGCTGTTTTCCTCAGGAATTCAACAACCTACCACTTTTTGCTAAACCAAGGAGGAATGCAGCAGTGCTGGGCAATTCCTGGCCATTAACCCACGTGAGTGGACTGCAAAGCTCCCATCCTCATCCTCCTGGGCTTGCTTCCACATTCCCACCTTTGCTCAGATGGTGCAACATCAAGCCTTTGAATGTGTACACTCTGATATAAAAGAGGGAATTTTTAGGCAGGGAGCCAGATTGCGTAATAGTGAGGATTCAGCTGTTTGGTACCCAAATTCACCATTTACACCTTCCACACAAACCAAAGGCCCCAGTGGCTACTCTGGCTGCTCATGTCTGCACCCCTCCTGGCAGCTTGCAGAGATGAGCGAGCAGGAGACAGATGAGAGGTAAAGTGATCGGCCAGTCAGCGCTTTTTATTCCAGAGGGTTGCTGAAATATTAGGGCTGGCTGGGACAGCCCTAACTGGTACTCACCTAACTGATGACTGTAAGTGAGCACAAAGCACTTCCAACTCTGCTCTCCTGCAGGAGCAAACATGCTCCCGGGGGATAACTGATTGCCTATCACATTTTGTCACAGAAGGCATTGGCTCATACATGCCCCAAGTTGTTCCTGAATAAAATTCTAAGAAAAAATGCTTGTTATGGAGGGTAGTGGAGAGTTACTGAACCAGCCAGTCAACCTGTCTGAAATACTCTGTTGGTGCAATACACTTTTGCAATTAATAAGAGTGTTTATGTTTGTGTTGGAGATGCCATGGCCAGGCATCTGAGGCAGATGGCTCCTGAACAGGCTCCACATGCTGCAGGAAATTGAGGGTGATAGATAAACCCTCTTCTCCTCAAATGGAGCCAAGATCGTAGAGGCTCCATCTAAAATGGATTTGTAAAATAGCAAATAAGTCACTCAGAACATGGTACATGATTTGCCTTTAGGAGAATGTGTGTGCTGATGATCCTCTGTCTTCATCATGTTTATGTCATGCAATGAGTTTCGCCAAGTCTTGTAGTGCCCTATTGCAGCTTCTGGCACTCCCCAGCACAACTCAGGGCCTCCATTTCTCTCACAAGGGTAATGCAGTGAAACTGAGCTTGTGCTCAGCTGTTCAGTCAGACCTGTTTACAAGGAATCAAAAAATCATGATTTTGTCTGACAGGAGCCTCTGTTGTTCAGCACAAGCCAAAAGTAATGGGGCTCTGCCTGAATGCTTCCTGCCTGCAAAAGGACCATCCTCCCAGCTCAGACACATGTGTGTCCAAGGCAGCTCTTCCACCCACAGGGTCTCTTCAGCTGCAAAATAGGGCTGGTGTGTTGGCTTCTGTCATCTCTCCCTCTACCCCAACAGCCTGGGTACTCTCTTTCTCCCCTCAGTTAAGCAAAGTAAGGTCCAGCTGTACTTCCATGCTTTGGTCCACAACAGACTAACACAGGGTTGAGAGCTAGAAATATTCAGCTTCTTTTTCTTAAGACCAAGATACGGCTTTTTGCCAGAAAAGTACGATTAAAAGGTTGGCACGGGCCCTCACAGTTCTTGGGTGGTGAACTCAGCTATATTGCTGCACAAACTCTTGGCATCAGAACAGTCACCCTTTAGTGGAGGCACACAGGAGCTGGCCGTGGATGAGGATCAATCAAACTGGCATCTCACAAGGGTTCCTGTGCATGGCTGGGCTGCTCCAATACACAGCTGTATGCAGAAACAAGAACCACAACAAAAATTTTAACTTCCAAGCCAAAATGCTGCCCAACTCACAGTCACATCAACATTCAACCTAATCTCTGGATCAACCATAGGGGGGATGAAAACCTGTCAGCACCGAGGTTAAAATCTTCCAGACGAGCGACTTCTCCCCAGATGCAGAAAGCAGGGAGGAAATTTGTAGCAGGAGTTTCCCCACAGATGCCTGGCAGCAGGGCAATGTTTGCCTGCACCAGCCTCTCCCAGGTGAAAGGGCAGCTCGAGTCCCTGCAGCGCGGCAGCCTGGGCACAGCGGGGGCACAGCACAGCCACCCAGCTGAGCGGCAGCAGGCGAGCGCCAAGAATGGGATGTTTTGTACCAAGACAGCTGGGGAGCACATGAGCAAGGCTCATCATGCCGTGGGAGTGCCAGTGACACGAGACTGCAGACCTTGCTTTTGAAATGGTCTCTCTCTTCATGTTTGCTTTCCAAGTGTAATTTCTCCACAACAAACTGCTATCTGTTCCTGTAGACACTCCTCAAGCAAAGTCTGTGCTACCCAAAACTTTACCACAGCCATGCTGTGATCTACCACAAAACTCTGTCATCTTTTCTCTGGGAGGAAATTTCTGAAGGGGATTGTCTAGGATAGGTTTTAGGGGAAAACAGAACTGAACACACAAAGTATGAAGGATAATTAAATAAAAGACTTGGGAACATAAAAGAGAGAAACCTTAGACAGGTTTTGTGGCCTTCTCCAGAGGACAGTAAAATAACTGCAACCATGAATCCTTGTACAGGGGGCAGGGAGGGAGATGAACACTGACAGGCCAAGGGGGCAGGCAGCCTTCATTTTTGCCCCTTCCCAGGTTAAGGCAGGAGAAGCCAAACTGGCACTCACATAGAAACAACAATGCATGTGTTAGTAAAGCTTCAATACAAAAATAACAGCAGTCCTCTCTGGTCTTCAGGTGCTTAATGAAGAAATTAAAACCTGCTGGGTGCTGAGCAGTCACACTGACTGTGCTCACGGGGCTGCTGACAAGGCCAGTTTGGCTCAGCAGCCAATGTTACCTGGGTGCTCTCGGACATTGCAGCTCTCTGCTGCTACACCTGCAAGTTAAAAAACATGCATCTGTAGCCACCTGGGATGTGTCAGAAAAAAGTCACAAAAGGGAAACTGGAGTCTCACCTTCAAAAGACCCCTTACAGGAGGCTTTAGAAATGTGAGGGAACAGTCCCTTAACAACTTAAATTAGATACAGGCAGTTCTGGAGCCAAGGAAATCATTCCACGCATCAGGGCACTGTGTGCCACGTATTGCAACAGGAGCTCACTCCTGCTTCTTGCCTTTTATACCATGACATTGCCCAAAGCTATCTTGACACACTGGACAGTTGTGTTCCCTCCAGCAGATAAGGAAGTTACAGTATCCATAAAGGGTATATCCTGTACCAGATAAAAGAAGAAATCTAGTTAGCTTGGCTAACAAGCTATGCAACAGTGTCTCTGGGACCTTCCTGCATTACACAGGACCTACTGCTATTGGGCCAGGCAAAGTGAGATACCACTACACCCACCAGTATCTTATAAAGTCACTGTGGTATCTGCCCTTCACTTTCTAGGATCACAAGGGAGCTTTCAAGGTGGTAAAGCCTTTCTTTAGCAGACGTTAACTCATAAAAATCAAATTACAGACAAATACATTTCACCCTGAACTGAATACTCAGTTTGGATGTATGTGTTTTTGCTAGGGCTTGTTTTTTGGGGGGGTGGTTTTGCTTTTTCCATTACCAATCATCTATCCTGTCTACCAGATTGGCACAGGGCCACAAGCAGGGCTATTTTAAAAACCTTTTCCTAACCTGCGGTTGTAATGATTGACTCCACATCTGCAGCAATCCTATAGCTGTCAGCAGTTTAGTAGATTGCCTTCTGAGTACGGTCAAGGACTAACAATATTAAACTAGTCAAGAACTCAAATGTCTCTGCAGGGTTGTAGGGGCTGTCACACACTAATGCTTTCAGGGTAGTTCATTGGCTCTCAGAAATGAAAGCAAAAATATAGTATTTGCCTGCCAGTATCTTAGAGCAAAGATTGTTTTTACCTCCTGGGATTCTGGATCTTCCTTTTTGTGTAGCAGAAAGCAAACCTCCCTCAATGCTTCCTTTGCTGTAACACTCACAAAAGAACCCCTTGCAGATGTTTAAAAACATGAACCACAATGGATCTGTGGATTTGCTCATCAGAGCTGCAGTGCTGCCACAGCAAGGGCTCTTACTCTTCCTCAGTGAGGTCAGGTGGGGCTGTATCCTTACTGCTACCCTGGACATCAGGAGGATGCTGTGAAGCCACAGTGAGCTTCACAAGCCAGCCAGCCAGCACCCTGAAATGCACAGTTGATACCTGTCCCAGGCAATTCCTCTAAGGATGGGAAGGGGCAGCTATTTGGTTTGTCACACTAAAATCCACATAAAAAATTTCTACTGCTTATGGAAAAGTCACCTCAACTTATTTCTGGGGATGGCTTCCAGACTACAATCATTTGTTCTCAGGAGACTTTTCATTGTTTATATAACACTTTTCTGTGAAAGAGAGTGCAGACTTCCATTATCCAGGAAGAAGCAGTGTGAGGTAAGCCAAACACATGAGCTATGGGGCACAGGACCACATCAAAAAGTGACACCCTCTTGCAAGGCCCTTTGCTACAGACAAGTGCCACACACTGACACCTGTCCCACAAGCTGTGTGGCAAGACTGGGGCATCTCTCCAGTCCCTGGTGCAGATCCAAAATGAAATACCCCAGGGAGAACTGTCAGTTCTTTTCTTATCAGCACCGGGGCAGGCTGAGTCTCTAGTTAATAGCTGTGAGGAGTCTGCACACACAGTGTTTTGTCCCCAGGGCTGAAATCCACCTTTTACCTGCACTCTCCCATTTCCAGCCTTATTTGCACCCCACAACCCACTGCAACCACTGGGCTGAGCCAACTGTATTGGTTCCCCATTGTACTTGTTGGAGGGCCCCAGCCACTCTGTCACTTTGCTGCAGCACCGGGAATGCATGGAAGAATGTGTACTCAGGGAAAATGGGCACTTGGCAAAGCTCTACCCTGCCCCATGCTACTTTGCCATCAGGAATTGGTATTTGAGAGGGAAGGGAGACCCTTCCATCCTGAAGCAACCTCTTCAGCAGAGAAGACCTAATTTTACCTACAAGCTATGGAGAATAACATGGGTCTAAATAAGAACATTGCAGGCATTGCTGCTGTCACAGCCCTTTAAAGGAACAGCTAAAGAGCCAGTAGTGCAGCAGAGAAGGTAGGTAGCACATGACAGGCTGTACCAGCCCCAGCAGCCATTGCCAAAGACCTGCCAAGGGTGAAACTGCCTCCAGCATTCAAAAGGCACTTTTTCAGCTCACTTTTCTGGCTCACACAACAGATTGCTGCATACCTGGCAGAGGTGAGGTTTTTGCAAAAGGAACAAGAAGGAAGAACTGAGGCAAGACGGGAAGGAAGAACTGCTAGCGGATGGGAAAGCTGGCAGCTCTGCACAGGAGACTTACACTGTACAAATCCTCACAAGGGGTGGCAAGAATACCAGCAAAAGCAAGTCGGGTGAAATGCAGGAGGGACAGCTCAGACTGCTTTGTGCCCTATGGGAAGCTGAACGAAAAGCTCTTCTCTACCTGTGTATCATGTCCTGCAGGCCAAAAGCTTGTGAATCACTGATGTTAAAGAAAATCAGAAGGGAAAACAGCAATATACCCCAATAAGGATGTGTATTTAGAGAGGTGCCTTACAAAAAAGCAGCAGCCCTCCTCATGTTATCATGGGATCAATATGCTTAAGAGACAGGAGGGTGTAAGGTCAAAGGATGACAGCAGAGTCGCAGATTTGATTTCCAATATCTATTCTTGTGTCAAGATGTCAAGACCTGAACAAGTCGGTATCAGACACAACTTACATGAAGGTCAATTGGACCTTCCCAGCCAATCTCAACAGATGTGGGGTGGGCAGGTGCAAACACTAACCTATGCACTCCCAGGATTCAAACTAATATATCAAGGTTTTCACTTGCAAAACCCCTTCGGTAATCAGGCTGCATACAAAAATGCAGACCACACTCACAAATAAATGTGCAGCTGCTTACCAGTGTTACGCCCTTTATATTGAGGGTGCAAGTCCACAGATGCAACCAAGACGAGTGGAAATTTCATAAACATCAATTCAGTGATAACATTGTCATCACATTCCTTTTGTATCAGGGTTGCAGAGAAAAGCCATAAAACTTGTTTAGTTCCTCTTGCAATGGAACACATCAGCACTGTATTCATGCTGTGACAAAACCAAAAGACACAAGCAAATACGGATACAGTAGCCAAGCCAGGGTGTCAGTCCAGTTCTGCTGAAGCCGTGGGAGACATATAAGTCTGAGGATCTGCCTGGTGTGTCTAGTATGTGCTGAAAAATGAGCAGCTGGTTTAATGTCAAACTTCCTTGAATCTCAAGCAACGATTCAATAAGAGGCTACTTGCAACTAGCAGAAATGCACTCATTTTGATACATAGTTGGAAATTTGATGCCTGATGCCAACTGTTGCCATATCTGTCTCCAAAGCTGGTCTCCGGTGAGGAGCAAAAAATGAAACTTCACCATTCATTCAAACTTGATCGAAGTCCCAAAACCAGTTCAGTAACACGACTTGTCTCATCTTCCCTCAGTTTAGGAAAGAGCATGTCTTATGGTAATCTACAGGAATTAGCTTTTGGGAGAAGACTAGCCTGCTGGTAGAAACAGGGCATTTCCACAGGATCACAGCAAGGTGAATCAAAACAGCCACCATCCTCATTAACAGGCAGATTTGCAACACAAGAGTCAGCCTGCAACATTAACCTAACGCAAGAAGAGGCACAAGTTGCACTTACCCAGAATGAAACTGCACCTGTGCAACTCTTGAGTCAGAGCTGTGGTGTGAGCCCCCAGGCTCTGTGAGTATCTGAAATCCTTCCCACCCCAGCATGTTTGAAATCTTCAGGAAAGCTCTTGCTCAGCTCATCTACTGCCTTTCAGCTCTGGTGATGTGTAAACTCCTAGATACAGTTTTCTGCACCATGTCACTTGGATACATTTAGCACTACATGGAGGGATGCTCTAGATTGACACACTTGTCATACAGAAACCTGCGTTAGCTTAAATTCTATTTAGATTATGGCAGTATAAAAAAATAGACATAGGAAGGGCACAAGCGGGCTAGAAGAAGCAATTACCATCACTATTTTGGGCATGTTGCAGTAAGCAAAACCTACATCTCTATTGTAATGACAAATCTATTGGTGATTGTGTGACATGAAGGGCAGTAGAAAAATTAAGTGTTAATATAATAGCCACTTGGGCCTCCAGGAGGAAAGGGAGTTATATAACTAATAATCTTGTTGCTGTTCAAGAGTTTCCACACACTAGCAGAAGATGAGTTCCAGATGCCATCTTTTTATGAGTCTAATTTCATTGGGGTTATTATTTCCTCGGTGCTATGAAGTTATCCACAGAGAAGATAACTTTGGCTCTTCTGTCGCACACAGCATATTTTGGATATAGATATTTGAACGGGAAAAGAGAACGGAAGAAATGCATCTCTGTCCTTTCAGAGGAATTCTGAGTAAGTACAGACTTCTGAACTGGACTCATAATCTTAATGCACAAAGCACACTTTGAACAACAGACGCGTGTGACTCGAGTGATACACTGGAGTTAATGAAGCCTTTAATCTACAGCACTGCCTGCAGAGTGATCGGCACTAACTGCTTAGTGTGACCTCCCTGGGACTGGGAAGAGCGTGAGAGAAGCCGCACTTTCCAGCCTCCGATAGTCCACCCTCTCACAGCAACAGCTACAGCAAAGAATGTCAATGTCATAGCAAGAATGCACAAGTTCAGTCTGAAAAAATAAATCGTGGCATGTAACACTGGGCTCTAGCTGGCATAAATCAGCACAGCTTTTTGCCCAGTAGGCCCAAAGCTTTAGGCTTCTCCCAAAAGGTGGGACTGACATAAATGTTACTAAGATCTCACTAAGCTTTCCTAAGGCGATGATTCCCTCCCTTTCTTCAGTGAGCTCAGGTGTTTAGAAATCTTTTCTATAATTCATTTACATTCACTTGGATTTTATACAAGTGCCATATTTCCATAATTGTCTATGCAGTATATAAATGTGCATGTTTACAAGCCTCCTGCATAATAAAATCCCGATGTATGATGTATTTAAGTAATGGGGGAAATTACAATGAAAACATTGTATATAAACAAAGAGAAAAGTAAAATTAACTCTCTACTATAAGAATTACTTCTAACTTAGATGGTTGCTAACACTTCATTCATTAATGCAGAAATAATACATTCTCTCCTTAAGAACAAAGGCTGAAATAGCTCCAAGTGTGAACTGGCTTTCTTGTTTTCAGCAGCAGTTTGAGAATTATAGAGCACACTTTCTAATAATAAACCTTTAAAACTATGCCTAGACCTACTACTTAAACCTACTACTGCTACAGTTGCCCATAGTGCAGAGTCTCTAAGCAATGTGATTTACATCAGGTTTCCACACTCATCTGGATCAGTGTGGTTTGGCCCCTGTTCAGAAACTGAAATCATACCCACCCAGTTCTCCAGCCCTATTCCATATTTCTTAATGGTGAGTACCTTTCCAGACCGTATCTTTCAGGTTTTTTGCCCAGTTTTTTGCAAATGACCTTCATCACAGTGACATCCTGTGTCTACTCAGAGGGCCGACAAGGGCTGTTCTCAGGCTGGTGCTGCTGCTTCCCACCTAAGGGGGACAGGGCCGAAGGCTCATCTTCCTTTGTGCAGCCAAAACAACATATTTTTCCCCAACCCAGCTATCCCTGTTTAAAAATGCAAATACATCAAAGGACAAAAAAGGAAGGGATGGGGTTCATTAAGATATGGGTTCTGAGCAAAAATCTGTCCCAAACAGCGTTTCACCTCCCTCCCACACACAGGACTGTGCTAGGTCCAGTAAAAGTCAGATGCAGAGGGGATGGTGTAGGACGAGCGCCCACAGTTCATCTTACTCTAAAAGACACACCAATATGATGTATAATTGCCCCCCAAAGAGACCTACCCTCAGCCAATTAATATGTAAATTTGCCATGCCCTGTTTTCCTCAAGCCCTATACTAAGTTTAGCCTTAACTTTAGGGAGAAAATAGGGTCCCTTTAAGCAAGAAACATTATGTAAATGTCAGAATGACTGCATGTCTCCAGGGTCATCTCCTGCACACTTGCAGCTCCTGCAATCATGATGCCTGCGGGACAGAAAGGTCCTTAAGGGAAGCACTATCTTCTACAAGCTCATGCTAAAAACTGCTTAGCCAACAGCAGAGGGGGGGAACTGGACAAAAATCACTAACTAGTGCTCTTTTATTAAGATGGGACCACTGTTGACTGAACAAGAATGGAATTAAACCTCGCATATCCATGAAGCAAATGTACCATTTATCAATACTGAGCTCCAACTGCAGGCTCTCAGCCCACATGGCTTTATGCGGAAAAACAGCTCTTAATCAGAGCAGTATCAAGAACAATAATTTTTAAGCAGGATGCTCCTGCTTGCCTAGCAGTGTGAGTAGTCAAAGCTTCCCTCCAAGGTGACTTCCAACCAGAGTGAGCATCGTTCACCAGCTGGAACAGAACTGGCAGACAGATGCATCTTCCCTGCCACAGCTCAGCACCATGGAAGTCTAGACTCTGGCCTCAGCAAGACTCCAGAGCTTTATTCTAACTGAGGACCTAGCACAATATGTTAAAAGGTATTTTGGCACCAGACTTGTGTATTTGTGTGCACGCTCTACCCTCAGCACATCTGAATTGTGCAGCATCAGAGACGACAGCTTGGCTAGCTCTGCACGATGCCATGGTCTCCCCCTGTGCACAGGGCAGACATGCCAAACCCTCCAGGCAATGATGAACACCTGGCAGCCAGCACAAACAAGCAGTCCTAGCTGTGATCTCTCCCTAGGTGCCTCTCCATGGACTCTGCCTCCTTGCAGGTTTCTTCCAGCTATCAGTTGTATGGCAGATTTGGAGCTCAGGGGTTTTGCCTCTTTTTACAAGAGTGTCCTAAAGAAGGAAAGAGGAGATACAGGAGAGCAGGTTGCATGTAAGCAGTCAGGGCCATCTGCTGCAGAACTGTACTAAGACCATCGCTTTGAGAATGGGAATAAAAATCCAGTCACTCACAGATGTGCTCTTCTAGTGTCCTTCTCATACAGGCTGATGCTGCAGTGTGCTGGGAGAGGACATATGCTGTAGACAAATCAATTCCTATGGCTAATTTGATTATGCCTCAGGTGCTGCCCCTCCAGAGTCTCCCCATCATGTCATGGCAGCAATAGTCATGCTGGCTCCAAATATCTGGTCCATCTATGCAGCAAAGGCAGTGCAGTACAGAGAGAAGGCCTGGGCCCAAGGCTAGCCCCTAGCCGTGGCCAGACCAATTGCCACTGCTCTTCCCTCCAGCAAGCAACTTGTCACAGGGAGCCCACTTGCTGTACAGCCACCCTGCTTCTCACCCCCTCAGCTGGCAGCTGTGCAAGGGCTGCACCACACTCCAGGGCAGCACAGGCTGCTGCTTGACACCAATTCAGCCCCTGCCCTTCGCGGGACAGTGAACACGGAGAGCACAGTGCGCTCCTTCAGGGGAACAGCGATGTGACAGCCCACTGAAGGGGATGTGCAAAGAACTGCTCCTTAGCAGACTGAAGGCTTGCAGATCTCTTGTTTAGTGAGCTTCGTGGAGAATCAGACACCCTTCCCTCTCACCTCTACAGCCACGGTAAATAGCTGCAGCTCTGGTCACAGCTCCCGGTCTCACCATCCCTCCAGCTCCCCACAGCTTCACACTTGTGTTAGTTGCCCTTGGTGAAGCAAATTGTTCATATGTCAGGGATGAAGCCAGAGCAAAAATGTGCTTAGTTACACATCAAAAGGGCAAGTGAAGATAGCGGGGTTTTTTTAAATTTTCCTTCCCGAGTTACCTTCCTAAACTGCAGGCAAAGCCTTCAGATCTGAACTATGTACACATTTCCCAACACATACTCATGCCTTAGTCATTTGCCTCCTCTCAAAGCTCTGTTGGAATACACTCTGCAAGACCACCCTGATGCACCAGCTTAACAGCCAAGTACGGCTTGCTGCAAACAGTGAAACAAATTCTGCCAGTTTTTGAGCCATTCCAGTATTGTACCAGCATAAGATTTCACTTCCAAGGTACACATACACAATTCATTGTAACCAAAAGCATTACTGAAGTACAAATTTAGCTTATGGCACAGAAGCACAGATACCAAATCTCTTTAACTGTTTTCAAAAATCAAAAAAAAAAAAAATTGGCACTACAATGGTATAATTTCCAAGCTACTTCCCTCTGTCTCTAGAGATAAAAGTCATCCCCAGGCTGCTGATGAACTTAGCAGGTGCATGTTAATAACTGGGGGAACATTCATCTGAAGTATCAGACAATACAGGCTGCTCTGCAGAACTGGCAAAGCCATTTAAAAGTTTTGAACCCCAGCTCCGTGAGTTAAGAACAGGGAAAGGACAAAATTTCTACCTGCAAGAGAGCATGCAATGGCCTGGCCGTTAACCAAAATATTTCAAAACAGGATAATAATGGATAGACAGGGAACCAGGATAGCAGCAGTAGATGTTCAGTGCTGCAGCGAAGCACCAGGCAACTTTCCCACCAACAGTTAGCTATTCTTACAGCATGTGTTAGTCTGCTGGGCTATTCCAACAAATGCCTTGCTTTCTAGAAAGAGGAACATGCAAAACAGCATGTCTAACAGTGCAGCTTCTCTGCTGTTCTGGCTATTCTTTTAGCATTGAAACAGCCCCTCTTCCCCTGCAGGGCCAGGACCTGGTATTGCTGGCACAAGCCACGGCTACTTCAGTTACCGGCTTTGCTCCATCCCAGCTGTGCTGCTGCACACATCACCAACTGACAGGACAGCAATGAGGTGCTACCTTATTGCTGGTTACGTTAATTAAGCATTGTGACTCCCCTATGAAACAGGCAGGTGACACCATCCCTGTCTCGTGTCGTTAGGTGGTGGAAGTGCCAGACTGGCTTGCAAAGCCAGAGGTCTCAGCGGGAAGTCATCCAGCCTGTGGTAAGGTCTGCCCGACACGGTGGTCAACAGGAGCCTCAGCCCAAGCCATCACCTGGACAGCAAAGCCATCTCTGGATGGTGAGGCGGAGATGCCTGCTAGAGCAGGGGAGGCCGCGGGAGCAGGAGGATGCTCCCGGGCGCTGCCGCGGCGCAAGCCCGGGGCAGCTGGGGCAGCGCCGCTCTGAACAGATGCAGTCCACATAGAGCAGATACATCACAGATGTTTATAAAAACGTAAGTGACAAGAGGAGGAAGTGAGGGAGAGCTGTCCGTGCAGGCGCACCGCTGGAGCAACAGCTGCCGGGGGGGGGGGCCGGGGCAAGGGGGGACGGGGGGGTCGCGGGCGATGGTCGCACTCCCGGCGGCGGGAGCGGAGTGGAGCGGATCTGAGCACCTGCCGCCCTCGGGGGCAGCGCCTCGGGGAGCGGATGGGAGGGCAGCACCGGCGAGGAGGGAGGGCATCGATTCTCGGGAGGGTGGCCGTGGGAAGGGGCGCGGGTCCCGCTCCCCCCGCCCGCCGCGCGGCCCGCACTCACCACGGTGACGGGGGACACCATGTCGGCGGTGGGGCGCGAGCGGCTGCTGCTATTGTCGCTATTGTCGCTATTGTCGCTATTGTCGCTATTGTCGCTATTGTCGCTGCTGCTGCTGCTGCTGCTGCTGCTGCTGCTGCTGCTGCTGCTGCTGCTGTCGCTGTCGCTGTGGCCACTGCCGTGGCCGCTGCCCGCCCTGCCAGCTGCCCTGCCTGCCTGCCGGGGCGCTTTTTTAGGCAGCGCTGACGTCACTGGAGCGGGGCCCCCGCGGCGAATGCGCTGCGGGGAGCGGGAGGAGGCGGCCCCGGGCCCGCCCCGGGCGGGCGGAGAGGGGCGGGCGGGCAGCGGGGACCGGGAGTGCTGCCGGGCGGGAGCGCTCGGCCTCGCTCGGCCCCGGCAGCGGCGGCGCCAGTGTCGCCTCCGCCTCCTGGCGATGTGCCCGCCGGGCAGGCGGCAGCGCTCGGGCCGTGCGCCGCGTCCCCTCCCCGGGGTAGCGCCGAGCCTCGGGAGCCCCGGTGGCGGCGCGTTGCGGTCCCCGGGAGCGGTACGGGGGGGTCCCTCCCTGGAGCAGCCGCCCCGCAACTTCTGCCGGGACAGGGCGCGATGCCCGAGGGCAGCGGAGGCCCCTTCTCCAGCGCGGGTTCCCCGGCGGCCGAGGAGCGCCAGGGTCGGGCCAGCGCCCGCCCCCCGGGACCGCCCCGCCGGGCACACGGGGCGGGACCGTGTTCTTTGCTCCGTGTCCTTTGCTCCTTCGCCGAGCGCCGCCGGTGCCAGTGCCGGTGCCGGCAGTACCAGGCGCTGGACCAGAGGCAGCGCATCTCACATCACTCGCTCTCTCCCAAGTGCCTCTCGTCTCAGCTCCCCGCTCCGCACACCTGGTCTCTTGCCCCCCTGTGCCGCACACTCGAGCCCCGGTCTCTCTCCTCACTTCCCTTCCTGCGGCTTCCCGCCTGCCGCTCCTGCTCCTGCCCTTCCTTTCACATCCCTGTTTCTTACATGGACCCCTGTGGCCTTCCACCCTTTCTGCTCCACCTTGACTCTTTACCACCCCTCGT